AATGGTCTTTAAAACAGACCAATTTCATATTACTGTTGTAAAAAGTGTGTAACATCCTGTTACAAACACACACCACCATCTGGCATGATGCTGGATATTTAAGTTTCAAGAACAGCATTAAAGGATCCTACTATGAGTTCTAAGAGAAAACGTGGTCTCTCACCTTGGGACATTTTAGAGCTTTTTGAAAACCTATTAAGYTGGTATGGTTCAATGCAGACAAGATTTGATTTGTGATGCATCACAGAGGATAAAAAGGGGTGTGGGGAGGGTGGAACTAGATTTAGCTAATTATGTTTTATCCCAAGGCCTTCTAAAAATAAAATCTCTGGGGTTACCAGGCAAATACTAGTTCCAGGAAAATACTCCAGGGCATACAAAGGATYCTTCTTAATTGTTCTATCTTCAAGGAAATCACATGCTTACAACTCATACCTGAGACAGCAAAACAGTATTTGGGACATAAAAGTGGATATGATGATATATTGGGTCTGACTGAGGTAAAGCTCAAGCCCTTCCAGTGCTGTGCTTTGCATGAGTGGCTGCACAGGGGCTGATAACCGACCAGTGTTTTGGTTATTTCCAAAGCAGCGCTGTCCCTCTGACATTCCTTCCCCCTCAAAGGGATGGGTGTGTGTAAGATCCTGGGAGGGGACATGACCAGGCCAGCTGACCCAAAACAACCAAAGGGATGTTCCACACCATATGACATCAGCTCAGATATATAAGCAAAGAGAAACAGGAGGAATGAAGGGGCATTCATGAGTTTTCAATGTTTGCCTTCCAGAGCAACCACTCCACGTGCTGAAGCCCTGCTTCCCAGGAAGTGCCCAAACAACGCTGCTAATGGGAAGTAGAGATTGATTTGGTGTTTTTTTTTTCCTTTAGCTTTTGTTCACGCAAGTCTTTCCTTATATTTTGTATCTTTGCTGTAATAAAACTACTTTATCTCACCCTGTTGGCTGTTTGCCATCTTCCTCTCCCCTGTCCCAGAGGGAAAGGGAGTGATAGGGAGACCTARTGGGTACCTGGCATCCAGCCAGGGTCAACCCACAACAGATGATGGTATCACTTTCCAACCCTGAGAAAGGCATGAATTTTGTTTTTTCATGAATCATGTAACAGCTTTGGTTGGAAGGGACCTTAAAGTTCATCTTGTTCCAACCCACCCYGCAGTGGGCAGGGACACCTTYCACTAGACCAGGTYACTCAAAGCCCCATTCAGCCTGACTTCCAGGGATGGGSTATCCACAACTTCTCTGGGGACTTTGAAAGCTTTGGAACTGTTCTGCTGGATATCTGCAATTTTCCAGGACCTCCTTTGGCAACRAAGGGGAGACTGAGCACAGGTTCTCCATTGTTTCTACTGCAGTTAGAATACACACATGGTATGCCAAAACCAAGGCACAGTTGAAATCTTGATATTGCCAAAGAAACACACAGAGCACCCATCCAGATTCGGCCAGGATGCAGCCCTTTTATGACTTTGCCCATGAGATGCCTCTGCCTTAAGGTGCAATTAACTTCCAGCAGCACCAAAACCAGCATCAACCCTCTGAGAGTTCCAGTACATCCAAGGCCATGGAGAATTACACAGCAGGACAGAGTGTGGAGACTTTTTTTTTTAGTTTATGCACACTCCAGCTACTCTTGCATTTCTGACTGCACAGCAGTGGGTTTTAAGAGCTATTTTGACTGAGTTTGTGGCTCTAAAGAGAGACTTATGGAACCACTATGCTATGAAAGAGCAGATATGTAGGCAATACAGCTGGAAACAAGCAATACAACTGAACATACATTTGTGAAACTATGCTATTTGAGTAGCTGTATTTGATGCTGTCCAGAAGTCRCAGCTTAAGATCAGAACCAACCTGWATTGTGACTCCTGAACTCAGGGACCTGCTGCTTTCCATGTTTTGGCTTCCAGTGTGGAGGGACATGGGTGATTTGGGATGGCAGCTGTTATACACCTGCAGGAGAATGCTGCCATCCTCCCACTCTTGGATCAAGGACAGCTCSCTGCAGTTTTATTTTAAGAAATTTGTTGCAACTTAGCGAAGATTTCCCAGAAACCTGAGGAACAATTTTACTGGCTGAAGACAATGCTTGCAACTTGAGTCAAAAGTCAACATTAAAAGACCATTTTCTGTGTGAGGAGAGGGAATTGTTCMATTGAAATTGCAGGAACATACTATAAAACAACCTCTTAATGAGGAATTAAATATCTACAATACACAAAAGGTTGAAATGTCTAAAAAATAACTCAGAATAACCATAGACCAAACCGTTCTATTTAAACAGGAAATAAAAACACAAACTTCATCTCAAGAGTAACTCATAATCATTTGACTGCTCAGCCTTGTTTGTGGTTTCCAGCTGATTTAACTGTATTCACTACAGCAAATACAGGTAGTTTTGTAAAACTGCAAACTGTAAACCAAAYTGGGCTGTAGTACTTCATCTATTCTACATAGCACCTGACTGTGTCTTGCAGCTGAGCAGTGCTTCTATGATTTCTGTATACAGAAGAATATTTTTCAGACATAATTAAAATCTCACAAAAGCCACACAGAAGATTTGGGCTAGGCCATGATGTACCTTCTTTGTTAATTTGTCCAGTATAAGATGTTGTAGTTCAAGTTCTGTCCTAACTTGTAATTACTGCAGAGATCTGGAAAGATGAAGGGCAAAGAGAACACATTCTCACCTGCTGCCTGCCTGACACACACAGCCAGATTAATTCTGGCAGTGCTCACTGTTCAGCTACTTGCAGYAAACACCCACTGGCAGGAAGCAGAGAAACCTCCCTAACAGCCATTTCCATCAACAGTGAAATTAGTGTTTACAGTCAAACAGTGTTTACAGTGGTCATCTGTAGTTGGGAAAGGCACCCACAMCAAACTGTGCAAACAGTTTCTTAATCAACAGCTTAATCACAGTTACACACCCATGCTCATAAGTGTAGGAATTAATGAACAGCATTCTACTTTGTTTGCAGTAATGAGGTTTTAATCTACTACTGAATTTTTTCTTTACTASAAGCAATGTCACCACAATGTGAAATTGCTATTGACCACAGACRTGCTCCTACATCAATATAAGCATCAGTCACAGGGCCCTGGCCCAGTTATGTGAAATGGGGCTCTTTAAACAGTGCAGGAGGAGGCAAATGARGCTTGTTTGGCAGGAGTAAGACTTGAAAATAAGACTTAAATATATGCAGTRGTGATGAATCCAGCCCATTTCAAGTGTGGGAGAACTTCACCTAAATTATCTCCTCCATCCTATTCTATCTTATGTCTGCACTACACAGCACTTGACCAGAACATGTCTGGCAGTGAATGGTGATTCTGTAAATGCTGTATACAGATAAAATAGTGTTAGACAGTAGCACTTGAGAAGCTTTGAAGTCTGGGTGGGATGACCATCTAACCAAATTTCCAAATGCTGAGTGGAGAGCCAGAAGGACAACAAGAGAATATGACAAAACACAAGAAGCCTTGGCTTACAACTTCTACAGTAATTTGCTATGCAGTCAGACCTAACTCTAAGAAAAAGCTGAGAAAACCAGGCAGGAGAATGGTAAGAAGATTTCTCAGTATCTCTTACAATCAGAAGAAAAAAAGAAAAAAAGAGATGCTATTTAACTGARGAATATAACTACTCATAATGAAAACAGTGAACCAAGATCTGCAAGACTGTTATTGCTCACCACAGAGTTGCTCTTTCCATTCTCTTTGTCTTCATAGATGATCTTCATCAGCTTCTTAATATCTCYTGCAGTTTACCTATATGTAATGCAAGGTGTCAAGATATTTTAAATATCAGACATATTTACATTAATATCATCCTTACATGCACAAAGCCTTAAATACTGGATTTGTATTCAGTAGGGAAGAAATAGTTTAATGGAGGTCACAGCYTATTTACTAAAGAATCAGATCCTGCTCATCTGGAGACAGGCAAACATCCACAGACAACTGAACAGGTAAAGAAGACTAAAATGTGAGAAAGCTTTAAGTACTCCAAACTTCATTGCTCTTTTAGATTTCAGACAAGTTTTGACAAATTGACCCATGGACTATGGTTGTGAAACACACAATATTGGGAACTTGATGCTGATGCCACATTTGTAAGACCAAGCTTTTCCACCAGTGAAAAAGCACAAGCTAGCCCTGCCTTGAGGACTACACAATAGTAACCCTTTCAATTCTTCAAGATTCAAAAAAATCTACCTCTCCATTCTGGAATGAAATGTACCTGTCATTGATTTTCCAGAAGGGGAACTGCTCCAAGCCTTTTGGACAAATTAGACCTGAATTTAATAAAAGAGCTAGCAAAAAAAAAAAAAACAAAAAAAAAAACAAACAAAAAAAAACCACCACCAAACCAAAAAAACAAAAAACAAACCAAACCCAGTAATTTATCTAGTTCACCACTTTTAGAATAAAGGAATTTTGGCTCCAAATCCTACTCATGAAGAARGATGCTTGTTTTGAGTAAACAGACACATGTAGAACATGAGACTATTTCATCAATCAGCCTGAGTGCCTCCCCAGGTACGCTTCAGCAGCTGAATTCTACTGAACAGCAGAATGAACCTACCAGCAGCAATCCACAGCTTTTCCTCATTCCTGTTATCATACCTTCACTCCCAGGAGAACACATGCTGAATCCTTTTCTTTCCAAAATTCAGGACTTTTGSCACCTTCCCCTAAGAGTAGAACTGYAGTGTCCTMAGGAACTGACCAAACTTACTGCAGATGAAGACAGGGAAAAGCAAAATTTTGTRGACTGTTTTCCAGGATGCACTGGAGGAATAAGGGCATGGATTAAACAAAGATTTCCATCCTGAATTTCCTCCAAAAGGGTTTRAAAAGTTCTTATTTTATTTGTAGTAAATGTTCACTACTCTCGGGGTAAATACTCAGGCAAATCTTCAGACTATGAGAACATAAAACTCCTTGCTACTAAAAATAAATACAAGATTAGCCCATAGCTCCAAGTGACAACTTTTTATTTTAGGCAAAAACAAAAAAAGGCCAAAAACATTCCGCTATTGCAGTTTGTAAAATTTTCACTGTTTTCAGTAGAAACAGTTCACAAGTCAGAACGCAATATTCAAATAACATTGTGCAAAATTTTACTGGCATAACTACACATAGCAAAAAGACTAGTGTAAATCAAGAATTCCATTGAAATTAGTTGAGCTGCTCCAGTTTGACAACAGTGCACATCACCTCAGAATAGGCCCTTTTTTGCAGAACATCCCTGGAATTCCTCTTGCTTACAAAAATTGCTTTACATGCAACAATTAACCTATCAGTACAACATAAGCAAGAACATCTCCACAAGTTATCACAGTGTAACAGAGGAAAACATATCAGCCAATTTCATACAAAGGCAAATCTAATGGCAGTTTTGAACATCCCTTGACAGCTACCCTCAAAAATTGCACATTTCAATAAATGAAATCATCTAGAATGAAGCCAAGCTATGTTCTTAACTATCTGTACATTGACAATTAGGATGGATGATGTGTTCAGAAGGGGGTTGTTTTCTTTTATTAGCTTAGTAGATTTTCCAAAGAGAGTTGTTTCAAAAGAAGTTTGCGTAAGAAATTGAGTTAACTTGCAGTGTTATCAGGCCAAATCCTCTTCTGCTATTCAGACAGACTGGTCAGCACTACAGAAGACTGTCTAATCAAATACAAATCCCAGTGAAGAACTATTCAACAAAGACCATACCTTAAGTATTTACTTTTGACATGCAATGAAACCAAGCAAGCAGTAACAGGACTCCATTTATGTTCAGAGACTGCTGCGGTTCACTTGGGGTACAGGACTGGAATTTCACAGAACACTTGTCAACAGTTAACATTATGTTCTCTCCCACCTTGAATCCATGTGCAAAGTAACAGTTTCCAAACAATGCATCKAAGTCATTCTTTGTATGAACAGAACACTAAGAGTGGAACTGATTTTCAGAGTTGATCACAAATTCACATCAAGAAAATACACAGGTACATCTTGCAGAGATTGGTCACTTTGTTTTCCTGTAAATCCATATTCAGAAAAACAATTCTCTAAAAACTCTTTGATTACAGTAAAACTAATTGTTCTCCAGTGCTTTTCACCTCCCTAGGTTATGAAGGGCWTACCTTCTATTGCCTTTCCCAAGAGAAAACATTTTGACTTAATACATATCAACCAGGCTCAAGTCTGATGAACAGCAAACACTTAAACTATGGAATTTTATGAACAAAGCACAGTCCTGCTGTTTTCAAGTGTTTGGGTGCTTTTATTTCTTTTTTTGCAGGTTGTATTTATCTCGTGAGCACAAGAACAACACACAACCTTTGCTTTGGAGATACATGTAAGTGTGCATCTGTTCTGGAAGAGAACAGGTCTGCAAATCTGTATATAGGAAAAAAAAMCCAAGTTCTCAAAAATCCCAGCCCTGCCTCCAACCATACAGATAAAAGCAGCAGACCTATGCAGACTGCATGTGTGCATGCACACAATGAGTCAAATGGAAATCAAGATACCCAAGAAGTCACCCTGCAGAGATTATCTCTGTAACTGAAAGTATTTGGTGACTTCCTGTGTATCCTCCTTTGCCCTCTCAGCTTCATGGAGAAGCTGTTAAGTACTCACYATAGAAACATTTAGCAAAGAAATAWGGACATCACTTGCATCAAGTTTTTGTCAAGACATCAGTTGGCATTTCAGAGATGGCAGGGAGAGAGAACAGATAATACTTCAGYAAGGAATAACTGTGGTACCACTGAATTCTCTTACAAGCAACAAGAAGATGGGCCTGAGGCAGAGGAAAKGTTTGGTTACTTTGTTTCCTTCTTCCCACAAAGCTCAGCTTCAGTGTTTTTCAACAGTCTCAGACTCTGAATTCCAGGAAATCGTATTTTAGAACAGATCAAAAAATAGCCCTGAGACTAAACATACTTTATAGGAGCTGCTATTGCTTTACATAARTCAAATACAGCAATCACTTACTTCCACAGTATGCAATATTTTATTTTCATTCCCTTCTTTCCTCACTTGGGATGTGTACCTGAAACCAAGAATTTCTTTCCAGGATAYATGTATTTAAGCATTATCTGTTACTTTTCCAAGTACTTAAATGCTACAGAATTATGGAACCAAGCAGGGAAAGAATAGCTGATGCAGATCAAACTTGAACAAAGGAGCCCTTTTCCCTTGTGCCTTGAGTTTTTGAAAAAATAATTCCAATAATCATAGCTATCACCATGGACTCCATTACAATGGAGTCCTTCCTTGTGATTTRAGTAGAATTTACAACTGGAGTAACATAATTTAGTATATCTCAAAATCAACTGTCAGTGTTATTGTGTGGCCAGAAGCGTGAAATACCAAGAAAACAAGAATATCAAGTGTGTCAAGTTGTGCATAAAAATAGACCTTTACTTTTTCTTAAGCTACAAAGTAGGCAATCGAGGAACTGACTAGGTCTATGCATAGTTAGGATTTTAAGTAAGCAAAAAGAATTTGAACTCTTTCAGTAAAACTGTGCTTGTGTAATGCACAGGTTATCTCCCCCCAAAAAAATGAACATCCCACTCTATACATAAAATAATTTTTTAAAAAGCTCCATGCGCTCTCAAAGCTATTTGCAAACAGATTTAAATACTTAAGCTAACAGCTATGCTATGGCACAAAACAGCACATAAAAAATTTAAGGCTAGTTTTTGTCTGCACACATCAAAGCTGGTCTCAGAACAAGAGCTGTCACATTTTCTTAATTCTGAGTCTTTAGTGTGGATTCATAATAAAGTTGAGCTGCCACAGCAATAGTAGAGTGGTCCTGCATATAAAAAAGACTGAATGTTGTCCTGAATGCAGTTTTTGTATAAAAAGCAAGAACTTCACACATATACATTTGGTTTTTATCAGAGCAGCTCACTAATTTGTACAGTACATTGTCCAATAACATACAAGATAAACTACCAGAGATATTTTCAAAGTACTACAACAACAGGTGCAAGAGAAAGTCCTACAGTAAGAAAGCCCACTGCTATTTGGGAGAGTCACACTGTGATGAAAACAAACATCAGAATGCATTTTGGTGAAGTCAGTTAAATGTCAAGGCTGTAAAAAGGCTATTTGTTAACTTTAGCCCTTCGGTTCTTAACCATTCAGTTAAGATCTCCTAATAAAGCACTAGGCAGTTTGGCAAAGATGAAAAAGTTCTTTACATGCTACTGTTCCAGAAATAGGAAACAGACTTAAAAGCATTTCCTTCACCTGAATATGATCTGGATTCAGTCACACCAGGTTTAAACCAACCTATCTAAAGCAGTAAATTTTAGACTTCAAATTGCACTGTTTCAGAAGAAACTAACTAATATACAAAAGGCCTAGAAAAGAAGTATCAACTGGCAAAATTACAGAAGTTTGATGCACAAAGCTGCCTGTTTTAAAACTCTGTTCCTCAACAACTACAGGTAACTGACAAYGTCAGTGCAACTAAAAACTGTTACTTCAAAATGTTCCAGTCCATTTTCATGGGAAGATACATAGTAAACCAAATTATGCTTATTTTTTGATTTAACAGGTGYAATACTTCAATAATTCCTGGTAAAATTTTCATTTACTGTTTTTTTTTGCTTAATGTTTAAGAAATACTGTAAATAGAGAACTTGCAAATTCTAGTATGATTTATACTTACTTGCTGAATAAAGTACACTGCAACCATAGTTACTAATACAGGATTTAAAGGAACAGCAAATACGCATCAAAATTATGACTGTTATCTGCACACATATGCAGGGGTTTTTTTCTCCCAAACAAAATGTTTGCAAGCAAATTCAGCATATTAAACACTGAACAAGACTCTTAYATTTGCAGTATCACCTTTAAACAGTTGCCATTACAAGACCTGAGAATGCAACTGATCCATGGAAGCCATGYAGATGTAAGCTGTGTTAATGCAAGCCAGGGAGAACTGCTCGTGTGTAACAGACCAATATTCAGACCCAGAGACTGCCCACTTTGAAATTACTGAATCTAGCTCTGKTAAAGAGGTACAAGACCAACTTGTTTTGTAAGTGGATATGACACTGGTATACAGGTCACTGTCGTTTTCTGCATATTAATATTGTATTAACTCAAACCCAAGTAATGCACTCCAGGAACACARGAAACCTCAAGGAAGTTCCTGAACAGTTTCTGCTTGCAGTTGCCTTTCCCTCCCAAATTTTTGCCTTTTATTGTAATTTCAAAGCAACCATTAACCATCACATTATTAACACAGAGCAAGTATCCAAAAAATATCAAAATCCTCTGTTTTACATGCCAGCCTAAGCTGCTAGTCCAAAAGGGAGAATGTATCTGCTGCTGTAAACTTCTGTGTAACAGATATCATGCCTGACAAACCATCACCTTCAACRGACACACAAACACCACTATGACAAAAGGGAGGAAACCATGCACAGGTATTTCAGTATTATGTGGCCAGGGTCTATAATACAGTGATGAGTCACATCAGAGCAAATTTGTACCAAGAGTGATTAATGATTCAGGCTGAATCTTACAGGCTTGCTCAGCTACTTATGAGACAAGTATTTTCTGGAAGAAAGAATACMGAGTAAGAGGATAATATGTTTTTTCTGTACATATGCACAAAAATTCTATGGACAAATACTGGGACAAGTGCTTCAAAATGAAATATTCCAGCCAATAAAGCAACACTAGTAAGAATTCTGTGAAGGAAAGAGTTTTAAGAATGTGACTTACCAGAAGCACAAATTTTTGATATCAAAAGAATGTACACTATGTACTAACACTGTTTTTGCATACTCTTCTGTTTTAAAAATTTCAAACATTAATTTGTCTTGTTTTGTTTAGGTCTGAGGCTGTTCAGCAAGGTCACATAATTTGAGATTGCCATAATAGTTCAGCAATCCTTTGGTCCCATCAGCTGAAAGCCAGCCAAGTATAAAAGAACCTTCCCTACCAAAGCAAAAAAAAAAAAAAAAAAAAAAAAAAAAAAAAAAAAAAAAAAAAAAAAAAAAAAAGGGTAGAGGGATCATCACCAGGAAACACCATCTGCTACAAACCAGAAAAGGCAAAATTTTCTTACAAAATACACATTTTCATACAAAAGACATCTTGCAAAACCATCAGATTGCCCCTCCCTCTGCAGATTACAATGGTAAATGGCATCAGCTGGTTGGTCTTGAGACTTGTTTCAATGGGGAAGAAAAGTCAAAGGACACACACCATCACAACTGGTCCTTTAAATGGCAAAGGATTATGACAGTCTTTGTTGTCACCAGTGTTTAAAAAAAGCAGGAGAGAAACAGAACCAGTCTTCAAAAACAAAAAGTGCAACAGCACATCAGCTGCTGCATCCTCCTGAACTTCTCAATGTGCTACCAAACTGTCAATTATACAAACAGTTCCATGACGGCAGTGCCATAAATTGTTAAAACAATGCGTGTGTGTGATCAGAAAGGTCCAGTCAACTGGTTCCCCTTTTTTCCCAGTAGTTGCCCAGAAGAATGTCAAGACAATCTAAATTATTCTTCAGCTTCCTCAATACATCCCGACTGCTGGAGCAGAGAGGTTTGTGGTATTACTGTACTTGTTCCTCGAGAGATCCTGTCTTGATCTGTGTTTGTAGTCAAGGAGGCCATAGAAATGGGCTGTAACAAACCAGGCGTCATGCTGGAGGAGACAGTCAGGCTGTGTGTAGTGCCCTTAAGTGTGAGATCCTGTGTGGGAAGAAGTGGCTTGAGGATGCTGACAAGACAGAAAGCAGAGCCACTTTTTGGAATGAAATTCACTTTGTTCTTGTCAGGGCAATAGAAGGCTGGAATTTCGTGCAATGGCTTTGGCCTAGAAATAAAATATACACAATAGTTTTATAGAACAATCAAATTCTGCCAATRGCAGGGATGTATTGCTGAACACATCATCAGAAACAAGTTGAGGTTTCAATTTCAGCTACTCAAAAATGCCTTAATGACACTCTCAGCGCACAGCAAATGATGGATTAAATCACTTGGTAACACATGCTACGAGGCAACAGCACGATCTTAGGGCAGGCTGTTTCCAAACCTAAGGAACACAACCAACTTCATGYTGCAGATCACAAACCTGTCCATGAATAAGCACATTCAATGTATGAGAAAATATTTTTGGACCGTGTTCTCCAGAAACTTTCACAACCCAACAAGTTCTGCCCCACATACAGACACTATTCATAGAGCAAGCCCTTCAAAAGAAAGCTGGCATAGCAATGTTCCTAATACTGCATAACTCAAAGGGGTTCATGATCAATGGGGGATCCCTTTTCTACACTTTTACCTTCTTTGGACRTTCACATGAGCATGCCCTGACTCTGCAGAAAATGACCCCATGGTACTAAAAAACTCAGTGCAGAGAGTAAAATGTAGTTTTCATGATCAAGTACCTATAACATGGGAAGGAAGTGTGGAACACATAACGTAGATCCTGACTTGCAGTTTTGCCATCTCAACATAGAACACAACCCAAGACATGCTTTACGAAGAACAGAGTTGGAACAGAAACCATGGATAGCATAGGAATGCCTTCTGTGTTCACTTCTAATGCTGTAATGTAAATCTGCTTACAGTAGCCAAATTTTTCTTTAAGACACAACTATGGAAATCTGCTTTAAAGCCTCTCTTTATTGCTTGAAAATATCCGTTAGAAATTTTTGCTCCCTTTTTTGTTGTTGCCAGCCTTTAGCCTATAACCTCCCCTTCCCTTCCTTGTATTTCTAAGACAGCCATGTGCACTTCTGTTTTTGTTTTACTAGGCCAAGCAAGCCAATCTTCCAGTGCATTCTTGTAGAAATACTCCATTCTGAAAAGTAATTCTGTTCATTAAATAGGGTACATTTCCTAATTAGCTGATTCTCCCAAGGGAATAGAAAATTCAACCCCACTTGTAAATTTTCTTTCCAAATTCAAATTATGTAGAGGATTTTCAAACAGAAATTATGTTAAACAAAGGTTGAGCTTTAAATAGTTACACTCATGTATTCCACATACAYATGGAATTCAAGTAACAGATGTGAAAAGATTTTTTCATGAGACCAGTGTCTAAGAACTGCCACAGCTAGGTAAAACCTTCTGTAGAAACCTGTTTCACTCTACAGCAAACAGAACAGTCTTACAGCAACACAGCAAGGACTTCCAAAAAGAAATTGAAATACAAGTCAAAATACAATAGAATATGTTCCTGTAGCAAATGAATACATCTAATCTGTTGAAAACACAGTTTACACACACTAAAATAGAGACAGGTGACTTAAGTTACYATAACCTTTACCACATTGCTATGAGACAGACCTCTCAAAATTCCTGTGCACAGGAGGAGCAAGCTGTGCACATTAGGCAAGCTCAATTTTTWAAAAAATTAACATTTATACTAGATGGCATTCCTGAGATAATATAGGCGTRAGAGAATTATAACCTATCTATACTCCTTGTGTGATAAGATGAAATTTTTAACTGTAGGTTAAGATTCTTGCATACAAGTGATACAAGGGTATAAAAGCTCCTCTGAGAACAATACATATATATATGCCATTATACCATCACACCAAACAACAGAGAGCAGGCTAAAACATGGCTTTAGCAACTGGACTAATAATTTAACTGAAACAAAATCAATAAAGCAATGATTAATCTGACTGTTAGATATTAATTCTTATGTAGCAAAGATCAACTTACAAGTTTTCCTCAAAGACTTTCACCTTTTCACAGCCCTCAGGAGGTTCACGCTTGAACATGTAGCTGTTGTTGGGTTTTGGTGAGGTAGCGTATTTTGGCAAGGGAGAATTATTCCCATTTTCTGCAAAAACAGAGTTTCTCATTACTTAAATGTGTCACACAACAAAAAAAACACAAAAGGTACCTTGAAATGTTCCCCAAATTTAAAGCCACTTCATTATCAATGTTACAAAATAACAAAAAAAAAATTTTCATTTGCCTTCAAGCCTTCATTTGCAAATAAGCTTTCTTCTCTCAATTCACTTCCTTCCTTCTATTTCTCCTTATAATATTTTCAAGCTCCTCTACAATCTCTGATCATTCCTGGGCATTTTCAACTTACAACTGCAAACCTAAATCTACGGTTCTGTGCTGTCAACTATCTACCCAAAAGAAATGGGCAGAAGCCATATTCCTTAAATAACAGAACWGGTTTATGCAGAATTATAAGATTCTCCTAGGATATCTCAAATATTTCAGACARAAAAGGAATAATTAAATAAACCCTAAACAGTTTAAGGTTGCCCATTTTGTCCAAGATCATAAAAAATATCCAACACAAGCAACAGGACTACTGYGCTATTTCACCTGTTACTGTACATTCCTGCTTCTTCAGCTTCCTTAAAATACTTGAAGAACCTATTTAAAAACAAAAGCTTTTTGGGAAGCACATTCCTACGTCACATTTACCCAGCTTTCATTAATGTGTACCCACACAGTATTTGGAGCAATTTGGAAAATAATGAATCACAAAAAAACCATATTGTACGATTTCTCCATGTATGTAGGGAGTGAACCTCCATTTTACCTATGCGATTATGCACACCACGTAAGTTCAGCATTGTTGAACTTCAAAAGTTCCACAATACCTTTATCTCTGGAATCACCAAGMGGATCATCTGCAGAACATGGACTTTCTTCACTGCCTTCATTACAGATGGTCAGAAAGGAGGTTGGAGACACGGACTGGGAGCGGCTGCTGTTGTTACTGCCCTTGTCTGCTCCACCAGGGGTTTGGGTGTCAATGCTGCGAGTGCTGCTGCTGCGCTGCACCAAGGGAGGTGGGGCCCGGTGCCCGTCTGGAATATCTTGAGGCTGTTAAAAAAAAAGAATATATCAGACCAGCTCAGACCAGCTACTGTGGTCTGCGTAGCAATTTCTTTAAATCCAGTAGTGGTGAGGGGTTTTTGAATTTCATTTGAGATAGAAAATTTTACTCATTACATGCAACTCCAAAAGAAAATAAAATAAAGTCAGGTTCAGAAACTAAGGACAATAGTTTTTAAGATTTCACATCATCACAGAATTCCTGAGGTTGGAAGGAATCTCTAGAGATTATCAAGTTTAACATCTCTGCTCAAGCAGAGCCAGGTAGGCCAGTGTGTCCAGGACTCTGTCCAGTCAAGTTTTTAATATCTCCACAAAGAATGATTTCATAACCTCTCTGGGCAACTTGATCCAGTTTTGTACATCCTCACACATTAAAAAAAAMCCCAAAAACTAATGTTTTTTAATTTATGCCCACTGYCCCTTGCCCCRTGACTGGGCACTGCTGAGAAGAGACCAGGTCCCTCCGCTTCATTTACACACATGAGATATTTACACACATTGATAAGATCCCCCTGAGCTCTCTCTCCTCAAGGCTGAACSTTCCCATCTCTCTCAGCTTCTCTTCATATTGAAGACATTCTGRTTCCTTATTTATCTTCACAGTCTGTATTTCTGACACCTTCTTACTAAATTCACTTCCAAAAACATTACAATAAAATGAATATTAAAAATGGACAAATTGTGGTTCACCTAGGACGGGCAAAAAAGAGTTACTACAGAAACTCTCAAAACAGACCTTTTATTTTTTCCCATTTTACTGAGATTTCCTATTTAGAAGAAAAGGATCAGATTATTCAAGCTTTAACTCCTTTCTTTTGCTTTCCAAAAGACTTTTCAACTAACCTTAAAGAAAATAATGAATATAAATAAAATTATTGCCAGACAAATTTAATTCAAAAAATGTGCAAAATAAATTACTTAATCTCAAAGWAAAACCAAAATAATTATATAGAGCAATCAAGGTGGCAGATACATACAACAAGTTGTTCCTCTTTGTCTCCKGTCTCCTTAATTATTATTTCAATCTCCTGATTCAATCCTTCTACACTGTTTCGGAATCGTGATCCTGTTGATTTGGTAATAGGTATCACAGGAACGAGAGCACTCTTTGGGATGGGAGCCTAAAGAACCAGAGACAAKGAGAAAACAACGTAGTTATTTACAAAACAAAGATACTATTTCTTCCCAAACGTGACCCTTGAAACAGAACACATCTACACATCAGTACCAYGGATTAACAGGAAACCACAGTGATTGTGTGTAAATGGATGCTTTAATTGAAGACAGACATCCAGAATTTTGTTCAAATCCAGTTTCTAGCAGGAAAAGCTATATAACCTAAAAATCTCAAAATCTCCCTTGATATGGTCTGCCTCTATCCTGACATAGCTTTACAAGCAGAAATTTAACAGTAAATACTTAAATGTAAATAATTTTGAAGCCTTTAAAATACATTGGCATTTCTCCTAAAGTGAGCTATACCACAATGTCACATTGCTCATTKTTGGACTTGCCACTTGTAACCTCATTTAAACTGTATTTTAATGGAAGYGTGTGGCCATATGAAATAAMATGACACATTCAGAAGTAAAAYTATTCCTCAAATGCAAGATTGYACAATGCTTAGAAATTAAGACCAAYRTATTAAGTATTAAGYCAAAATAAAAGGTTGACAAAACAATTTAAGAAGACTCCCACAGAAAGAATAAAATCCCAAACCCAAATGTTAATACTCAATTGCTTCAGAAAGAAGCATTTTAATAATCCAGTGTTTCAAAATATGCACAAAATCATCGTTCTCAGAAAACACATTACTGAAGTTTCCCAAAGCTCCCTGTGGCAYACCACAGCTTCTCGAGATTTCCCAGTCACTCCATTTGCACCCACCCTCCTGTTTAAAAAGTCACACTATCAGAATATTACAACATTCTGCACTTATCATTCAGGGCAGTACTACAGGTAACTTAATGCTTCCTAAAAACGTTTAGTTCAACTCGAAGAACAGCCCAACACACTTAAGTCACAGTAGAACWCCCATGTAAAATTCCTGGACTCTGGCCTAGCATGCTGTCTTGGGTTGATTTTATGATAACACTCTATTCCTATATTCCATCTGCTTGTATGCCCAAAAGGCATCTGTGCCTTTAAATGCGACCCAGAAGAAGAGGCAGGGACGGCTGGGAAGGCAGCGCGGGTGGTTAAAAGCCAGGACTGCCCTGCAGCCGGTTGCTGTTGTTGGGAGCTCAGCTGCCACAGTGAGAACTCACCTTGCTGCATGCAGGAGAGTTATATTGTTGCCGCTTAGCTAGCTCGGGTTTGTTAGCTTGAGCAAACAGCTCTCCCTGGACTGCCACCCCTTCTATGACTCCCGTGATTTTCTGGAGCAATTTGGTGGGRCTTTGGTCCGAAAAACCAGGAGGCAAGCGCTGATCAGTTGGCAGCCAGCAGGGACAAGCCGTGCCACTACATCTTGCCCCGGACTCCAGAGGCAGCCAAGCCAACGAGAGAAAAGCACACCAAGCCCTCTGTTTCATCCACAGTGAGGAGAGGACTATCACCACATCTTCCACTGTTGCCTGAGCAGCCACATGGACTTTTTCTTTTGTTTCTTTTTTTTCCCAGAGAGAGGAGCCGTGCCATCTTTTCTCTGCACAATGTGCCAAGTGGCTGAGGGGGAGGAAAAGGAGGCGTGCGTTCCTGAGTTTTAAATATCCAACAGTTACTCCATTTTTYTAATCTGTGTCCTGTGGGCACCTTGTTTGGTCAATAAACTATTTTTCTCTTCACGTTCACCCAAACTTCTGTTTCATATTGGTGGAAAAAAATTATCAAACTTTTTACTTCAGAGGAAACATTTATCCTGTAACATTTCTCTCTGAAAACACTGTCTCAAACCAAGACACATGCCATGATTGAGAGCAACTTCTCTACTTACTGAAGGACCGGCATTTTTTGGTCATCAAAGTGTATTTTTTGCAAGGGGGTTTTATTTTAATTTTTCCTTTAAGTAACAAGACTGCATAGACAGTCACCAAAGCATTTCAATTTCCTGTGTACCTTGGCAAAAACCACACAAGACTTGTCTGGCAGAAAAACTACCTTAGAAAAATTAATGTAAACATGATAATTTTAAGTGCAGTTCATACTGGAAACTCCTTGTCACAATCACAAACCTCTACAGCAGCAAGAGTCATTATATTGGTCCTGCTTTCCTGAAACATTAAGTT